CCGCCTCAGCCTTCCAAGTAGCTGGAATTACAGGCATGCGCTACCACGTCCGGCTGATTTTTTTTTTATTTATTATAGAGATGAGGTCTCGCTGCCCAGGTGGATCTCGAACCCGCGGGCTCAGGCAACCCACTCACCTCAGCCTCCCAAAGGCGCGGGATTACAGGCTGAGCCACCGAGCCCGGCTCTACAATACATTTTTAAAAAATTAGCTAGGTGTGGGGTGCATGCCTGTGGTTCCAGCTACTTGGGAGGCTGAGGTGGAAGGCTCACCTGAGCCCAGCAGGTTGAGGCTGCAGTGGCTGGGGGCGTGCCACTGCACTCCAGCCTGGGCGACAGAGTGAGACTGCAACTCAAAAACAAAACAAAAGAGCTCTTGCTCTGTAGAATTAAGGAGTTGATTTACAGATTTATTATTGCAGTGAAATTTGCACAATAAACATTAAACATTTCATTTTTATTTTATTTTATTTATTTTTATTTATTTATTTTGAGTTGGAGTCTCATTCTGTTGCCCAGACTGGAGTGCAGTGGTCGCTCCCGGTCACCGCAGCCTTCACCTGCTGGGCTCCAGCGATCCTTCCGCCTCAGCCTTCCGAGTAGCTGGAATTACAGGCGTGCACTATCACACCCGGCTAATTTTTTGATTTATTGTAGAGATGAGGTCTCGCCTGCCCAGGCGGGTCTCGAACCCGCGGGCTCAGGCAATCCACTCACCTCAGCCTCCCAAAGGCACGGGATTACAGGTTGAGCCACCGAGCCCGGCTGGTATTTTATTTTATTTTTAGTAGACACAGGGTCTCACTATGTTGCCCAGGTTAGTCTTGAAATCTTGGACTCAAGCAATCCTCCTGGCTTGAACTCCCAAAGTGCTGGGATTACAGGTGTGAGCCACTGCACCTGGCATCCAGAATTAACTATTTTAAAGTGAACAATAAAGTGGCATTTAGTACATTCACAATGTTATGCAATGACCACGTCCATCCAGTTCCAAAACATTATCACCTCAAAATAAAACTCCATGCCCATGAGTAAGTTACTCCCATTCCCTCCTTCCTCCAGACTCTGGCAATGACTAATCTGCTTTTGTTCCCATGGGTTTCCTATGCTATACACTGCATATGAATGAATTGTATGAGATGTGGCCCTCAGCGTCTGGCTCCTTTTTTTTTTTTTTTTTGAGTTGGAGTCTCACTCTGTTGCCCAGGCTGGAGTGCAATAGCACTCTCACAGCTACCCCACTGTTGACCTACTGGGCTCCAGCAATCCTTCTGCCTCAGCCTTCCAAGTAGCCAGAACTACAGGTGCACGCTCCCACGCCCGGCTAACTTTTTGATTTATTGTAGAGATGACACCTCACCCAGTTGCCCAGGCTGTTCTTGAACCCGTGGGCTCATGCAATCCGCTCACCTCAGCCTCCCAAAGTACTGGAATTACAGGCTTGAGTCACTGCACCCGGCCATGCTAATCCTTTAAAAACAAAATTAGATCATGTTCCTCCATGGTATCAAAATCACCAAGTGGCTTCCCCTCTCCCTTACATGAAAATTCAAAGTCTTCTCCTGCTGACACTCCCTCTGTGACACAGCCTCTCACTCTGACCTGGATGGGAACTACTCCCTCCTGGCCACTTCAGTCCAGACACACTGGCTCCCTATCTGTCCTTTAAATACCACAAGTTTGTCCCTACCTCAGGGCCTTTGCGCCTGCTGTTCCTTCTGCCTATGATGTACTAGAGCCAGATGGCTGGCTTCAAATTCAGGCTTTGCCACCCATTCACTCTGTCATCTTTAGCAAATGAGTTAGCATGTCTGAGCCTCAGTTTTATCTGCAAAATGGAGGAACGAGAACCTTGTGCAGATTCAACAGTCAGTGTTGTTTGCTGTTAATGTTATTCCATCAAACAATGACTAATTGGATTTTTTTTTTTTAGAAGAAATACAAATTGGAGACAGAAATTGAGAACTGGATCCAGAAATATGATACGGAGATGGGTGAAAAGCAGGTATTTGGGGCCTAATAAATCTCTCTCAAGTGCTTTTCCCAAGATCCTCTAGGAAGGGGAGGAGAAGCTCCAGGATGGCCCATGGATTGGCCAGTTTCCAGGCCTTCCCTGGGGCAGAGAACGAGAGGTGGGAAAGGAAAGAGCCACAAGCCGCCAGTCGCTAAGAGAAGGGCTTGAAACCAGGCCTAACAACCGTGGCTCCATCTAGTGTCCACGTTCCGTCCTCATGTGCCCGCTTGGCTCCTGCCACCACCCCACAAGCTGGGGCTCACCCCCACAGGCTCAGACGGGAGCCTGTCACCAGCTCCTCACTCAGTCACTTGGTTGGTTCACAGGTGCCGGGGGGTGCCAGGTATTGGAATTCCACAGGAAGAAAAGAAAGACCCTCTAGGGTCCCTGACCAGGTGTGACCTGAAGTAAGGGCCTTTCTGAACCTGTTTCTGTATCTCATCAGCAGAGACAGCATGGCACCATGGTGGGGCTTTAGTGAGACACCGTTGTTGCAAGTGTTTGAACCGGCACAGGGTCTGGCCTGGAAGAAGTGTTCAGGGGGTGGTAGCCTACAAACCTGGGTGCCCCCAGATCCTTCACCTAGCTCTGGGATAACATTGGTGGCTCCTAGCCATGACCTGGCAGCCAGGGAGGCCCGGGAGCACTGGAGGTGACAGCCTGAGTGAGCCACAGCCTGGTGTGCTGTTCAGGAAAGGGCAAGCCATTACCTTGCTCTGTGTGCCCTTGACAGCCCCCGGAGGTGAGCTTTGCAGGCTGGTATTCACTTGTCTGGTCGCCAAGAGGGCTGTGGGCTCCTTGCTGGCAGGGACCTTATCTAACGAGCTCTGTGTCCTCTGGAAGTGCCTGCTGTGTAGATGCTTGGTCAACATTAGTGGAAGGAAGGAAAACAGGTGTAAGTTGCAGCAGGAGAGGCTATAGTTAGACATCAGGAAGAACCGTGGTACTCAGTTTGGGACCTGAGGAAGTCATTTCTACTCTGGGTATCCATGGAACTGATTGCTGCTGTGGCAGCAGATCCATGTCTTGCCCCCGCTGTGCCTGGCACCATGTCCAGTACAGTGTGTCCATAGGGTCATTTAATCCTGGAAACAGCCCCTGGGGTGGAGTTGTCCCTCCGTTCCAGATGTGAGGAAACAAAGGCCTAAAGGTGAAGCCCCTGGGTGTGGTGAGCTGGGATTGAAGTCTAAGTCTGCCCTGATCACAAGCCGTGCCTCTCCTGTTCCTGAAGTCACCCCCGGCGGGTCCTACCTGGAGTTAGGCTAGGCCCAACCCTCTCCTGGTCTCCCAGGGCCCAGATGCAGAAAGGCTTGGTCTAGGGCATCGTGGGGGCAGCCCACCAAAGAAGAGGGTATGTGGGAGGGTGGGGGCGGCACTTGACGCCCATGGCCCCCTCGCCCCAGGAGGAGTATGAGGAGCTGGACATCATCCACCAGGAGGAGAAGGCCCAGCTGGAGGAGCTGCAGCACAGGCACGACGTGCTGGTGGAGGAGTTTGTGCAGATCCACGAGGAGCGCGAGATCAACTCCAAGAAGAGGATGGAGGATGAGCAGGAGATGGTGCGCATGGTACGTGCCGCCACACTTATCCAGGCTGTGTGGAAGGGCTACCTGGTGCGCTCCCTGCTGCGGTCCCGGAGGAAGAAGCAGGGCAAGGGCAAGAAGGGCCAGGGCAAGGTGAAGGGCCAGGGCAAGTCCAAGGGCAAGAAATGAACCCTCCACCTCGGCCATTTCTGGCCCTCACCCTCCCAGAACCAGGCCGGGAAGCCACCAGAAGGGGGAGCCCCACAACTCAGGGTGGTCATTTTTAAAATTAAAAAACATTTTAATTCAAGGGAACAGCTTGCAAACGAACCTCTTTACCCGGGCCGTTGGTTGCGTACGTCCACGTCTGCAGAGGCTGTTGCCGAGAGGATGCGCAGGTGGGCGTCAGCCCTAGGTGACTCCTCCTTACTTCAGCCTCAGTGGGAAGCAGGACTCCAGCTGCATTCCTTGCCCCAGTCCAGAGCTGCCATTCCTGCGAGGAACACATCACCCTCTGGGGTGGCAGGGTGTGGGTCAAGCTGCCTGCAGGCACAGCGGCAGGCCAGGAACTCCAGAAGGAGCGGGGCCCCAGGTTCTAGACTGCCACAGCCTGCTCTGGGGTTCTCAACTCCTCCTGCTCCAGCACCAGGAAAGCTCAGGAGTCACCAGGTCATGCCACCAGCAGCCTCACAACATGGCTTCATTTCACACCCAAGAAGTTGGACAATTTTTTAATTAGTTGCTGGTATTTTAAAAATCAAGAGCTATCACCTAGAAATCTAGCTTTCTGCCCTTCCTGAAAAAACCTCAGATACCCAAGTATCACAGGTCTTCTAGAGCTCAGCACCTCGCCCCTTTAGATGGTCCAGAGACTGCAGGCTGCCCCATGCCCCACCGCTCCTGACTGCCTTCCAGACACCACAGCCTGGTGTCAGCCCCCTAAGCTTCACCTTGGACTACTGCTTTTACATATTTGGGAAGAAGGGTATATTTTTGGCCTGTGTCTATTAAAACATAAGGGAAGGGAGAAGACAAATGAGAGGTAGATGGAGAAAAATCAAGACAGGGCGGGGAAGCAATTCTGTTACACATCCTACATGGTTTTTGTCTTTTTGAGTCAGGGTCTCACTGTTGCCCAAGCTGGGGGCAGTGGTACAATGTTTACCACAGCCTCAGTCTCCCAGGTTCAGGCGATCCTTCTACCTCACCCTCTTGAGTAGCTGGGACTACAGGCACGCACCACCACGCCTGGCTAACTTTTTGTAAATGGGGTCTCACTATGTTGCCCAGCCTGTCTTGAACTCCTAGGATCCCGGTGCTTCCTGGAGGCGCCTAGGGAAGGAGGCAGCAAGGACAGGTCCAAAGCCCAGTCCCACACCCAGGGCGGGATACCGGGACTCTGTGTGCAGCTCCATCTGAGCAGAGGTTTCACTGCTTTCACGAGCACAGGACTCCACCCTGAGTGTTCTCTGGATGCACGTGCCACCGCCTGGCCTTCTCAGACCCTGCACTGGGCAAAGTCCTAGCCATTGTGTTTTGTCCTTTAAGTGGAAAGACTTAAAAACAAAACTAGATGGAAAATGATGGTCCATATTCTAAGCTCAGGAAGATCCGGTTGACCCACTAGATGGTGGCATTAGCTGGACACTGATGGGAGGAGGAGTTCAGCATTACTTGAGGCCCGTGTTCCCAAGCTTCAGGTACCTGCTTGCCACTGTCATGATCTCCGCCACACCCTGCTGTATTACTTAACTTTGTTATTTATACCAACTCAGGCCTGACAATGGTCTTTACCCTAAGGAAAAACATCAAGAACACTCATGGTTTTGATGAGCTGCTGATATATTTAACACATGAAAATAAATACATGACATATCAGAATGAAAACATGTCCAGATGCCCTTTTGACCTACCGCAGTCCACACCAGCCCGGGAAGGAAACTACTCCCAAGCAGGCAGCTGGGCTTGCAGGGGAGGGCAGGCGCCCTCCAGCATGATGACATACCATTTACTCACACTTGGTGGCAAGACAATGTGGGGGACAGCTGGGGCACAGAGCTCCTAGATTGGCACTAATCCGGAGTGTGGCTGAGGCAGGGCCAGAGAGAGAATCTTAAGGGGCAGTCCCCAAATCCACGTCACGGGAAAAGGCAAAAAGCAACTAGAGATTGTCGGGATCAACAGAGGCACTGCTCCCCCTGGTGTGTCTGCCCCGGGGGCTTTTCCAAAGCCTGGGAGTCAACCAGGTGATGACCCCAGGGGCAACCCTGATGAAAGAATATCATTTCCAAGGGGGTTTTGGTTTCTGGATGGTCCCACCTCGTCGGGGAGTTGCTGACACTGAAACACTGACTGAGCGAGCCCTGGAAGTCACCAGGGGGCTGCGGAAGGTCACCCCTGACGTGGAAGGCCTGGGGCCCTGAGGTCCATTTGTGTGGGGGGCACTGGCAGCTGTGTGACCAGTGCTGGGGACACTCAGCTGGGTGAGGGAATGGGAACGTCCCCGACTCAGGGTGCGTGGGGAGTCTAGCCCACCCATGGACAACCTCTGGGAGTCGGCTGCCAGCCTGGGCTCTGTCTTGGGGGGACCAAGTGAGTGAATGGCTCGCAATGGGGTCTCCCTGGGGTGGGGTGAGTAGCTACCCCTGGGGGTAGCTGGTGGCGTCCAGAAGAGGGCACGGAGTTTCGCAGTATCCCCCTTTGCCATTCGAGGGACCTCACAGCTGGGGCCCTCAGGTCGGGAGCCAAACAGCGACTCATCGCAGTAAGACGGAGTGTGGCTGATCAGTCTGGCAAAGGAAAGAAACGCAGTGAGCTGGGGGATGAACCACCCCCAAAACCCTAACAGCATCCCCCACCAGACACTGAAAAGGGTTATCTGTGGATCCCAGGAGTCCTCGTCTCCAGCTGGACCCATGGTGAGGCCACAGCCCTCTCAATCACCACTGCTCCCATCTCTGCAAAGCATCCAGATCCTATTCCCTGGCCTTTGCCCCAGGCCTGGCCAATTTGCATACTCCCTCCTCCCAGCCACACTGATTGGTTCAGGAATGGCCAGATGGCACAAGTCTGTCCAATCAGAGTCTACCTCAGGACTTTTGCTGAAACTATTAGGAAAAAGATATTTTTCTGTCTCTTTGCTGAGCTGACAAGACTTCAGCCCAAAACAGCTTGTGGCCATCTTACTCCTACAATCTCTACTCTTATGAGACTAAAAGACATGTAGGGGAGAGCAGCACTAAGATGGAGACAGTCCCAATGACAGCTTGAGTGTCTGTAACATGAGTCTCAAATGCCCCTTTTCTGGGAAAGCCAGTTTAAGTTTTCTGTCACTTGCATCTGAATGTCTCAGTTAACATAACCTTAGTCTTTATAGTCTTCATTTCTTCTTGTACTTACCACTTTTTCTTTTTCTGGAGGCCTCATCAGCTGAACCCTCTGCAGTCCTGTGGCCCTCTCTGATATATCTGAGAGTGCCAAACACAGAGCCTGGCATTGGTACTGTTTTCCATATGAGTAAACTGTGGCTCAGAGAGGTCAAGGTGCTGGCCCTAGATCACAGAGCAGGGTGGCTGTAACAGGAACCCAGGAAGCTACATTGAGTATACCTCCCCACCCTGTTACCTGTATTTGTTCTTCTTCCTTGGTGTGAGGGTTGGGGTGCTGCCCCTTGAGGGAGTGGCCTCACAGCTCCCCCTGGCCAAGGAGGCCTGTGATGCCCCCGTGCACACTCCTCTGGTTCTGTGAGCCTTCTCCACCCAGGGCGGGTCAAAGGCTGGTGGGGCCGGTCGGGCGCCTGCAGGGCTTCCAAACAGAGTCTCGTCCACAAATGAAGCCCTGGCTGTGACCCGGCAGCCACCCCGGCAGCGCTGCTGAAGGTGGAGGGTCTGCATTCCACTGATGGCCAGCACCACTGGGATCTTCATGCTGCCCGCAGGCCTGGGTAACAGCAGGTGTGCTCTGCCCACCAGGTCCTGCCTCCACAGCTCCCTGTGAAAGGGCATCAGGGCAGCACTCCTGAGCCAACAGCAGTGCCAGTGAAGGAAGACTGGTCTCTGAAGTCCTCATTCCACGGGCAAATAGGTCTAGTTTTCCCTCCCCCAGTCCTCAAAGGTGAGCTGTCAACCTCAAGGGGTGTTCCAGAAGTGTGTTTGGCTTTTTTTAGTTACTATAACAATGGAGAAAGGAATGCTCCTGGCACATATTTAATAAGTAAATAAACATGCACTTCTAGCAAAAGGTATGAGCTCAGCAAACATTTAGAGTGACTATGGGGGTGAAGGAGAGATGGTACCTGTGCCCACATTGTGGCACCCACCAGAAATCAAACTATGGTAGGAAGGGGCGACAGGTCCTTTCCCATATCCTCTGTGTATTTAATGGGGTTGAGACAATGACAGCCAGTGTCGACGCCACGCCTACCTCCTGCAAAGAGCTTTACAAACATCGTCTCATTTAATCCTCAACGACACTGTGGAGTGGCTTCGATTTTGTCCATTTTCCGGATCACAAAACTGAGGCTTCAGAGGGTGAAGTCACGTGTGCAGGTCACGCCTAAGAAGCTAAAACAGTGGACGTGGGGCTCGCTGTGAATCCAGAGCTTGTGCGCTTAACTGCGCTGCTGCTGGGAGATCATGCTCCCCGCAACCACCCGCATTCTGCGACCCCCAAATCAGCGGCCCGGCGGCGAACGTCCAAGCTTCGGGATTCTCCTACCTGGGCATCTCGGCTCGCAGCCGTCGAGGCGACCCTCAGCGCCTCCTTCCCACCACGCTGGAGCCTCTGCGAGGGCGCGGGGACGCGCGGAGCATCTGGGGTTCCTGGGGCCCAGGACTCCTGCAGCCCAGGCCGTCCCCGGGCCCCGCGCGCGGGCCCTCACCCGGGAAGCGGGTCCCGGCGACGTGTGAGCCGCGCGCGCATCCAGCAAACAGCAACCGGCGCGCAGGCCGCGGCGCGGCGGACGCGGCCCGGACCATTCGCGCCGGGGGGGAGGCGCCCCGTTCCGGACGCCCGGAGTGCCCCAGGCACGGACCGAGCCCGCTCGCGCCGG